AGCTTTGTAGCTTCATCTAAAATGCTTCGACGTTAGAGAGATGGATGTGTTCTGGAATGGTGTTCTTCATGTCTGATTGACGACGATGGGCAGAGTGCCGGTTAGGAGACTCGGCTTGCGGGATGTCGCGCGGCATCGGCACAGAGATCTCGCTGAGACACGAATGTCCGATACTAAATCGATTCCAGCTATCTATGAAAAAGGCAGTTCTTACGTGTCGCTGCAACTCCAGAATCTTAGCCAGCAATAATTGTGGCGTAACAAGGACAAGGCTAGCGCGGGCGACGGTAAGCGCAAGAATGCATTAGGTTTTTTCAAGCTGGTTTCTAGTGACTTTCTGAACTAAGACATGGTGAAGAGATGAAGGCGAAATTTTGCTCATCCCACTAGTTGTGCCATCTTGATCAGGGGCTCTACAAGTAAATACTAAGTCAGTGACGTGAGTAAGCTTAGATGTGTTAGTAGTGCTGTAGTAAAAACCAGTAGCGTTCGAGTATCGTAACGAACTAGACGTGATGGGCCTTCTGCACTCCAAGTATCCATTCAGCCACGCCTACGTAGTAGACGGTCTGCGCAATGGCGAACAACGGCGCTATCACGAGAATTCGGCAACCGGCTCCTTTGAAAAGCGCCTTTGGTCCTTCGGTACGCAGAATGCTACTGAAACAAATCTTTATTGATAGCGATTACTGTTATTCTAGATCACATCATTCTTCATTATTAGATCAGTGGCTAGTGGTTTAAAGTCAGGAGGTACAGTCGTTTTCGCTGCAGACAAAACGAGGTCAACTCATAACTCACGGCAATGAACCCTTTTGAATGCCTGATACTTCGGATTCGAAGAGATTGGGTGCGTGCCGCATCACGGAGCAACGCCAACGACGCGTTACTCCCTACTTTACTAAAAGCAAAACGCTAAAAAGTGAAACCATTGAACTCCATTAACTGTGCCATATGGAGGCGGAGCAGAAGGTCGTGTTGAAGTTGAAGGACGGGCCTTCCTAAGTTGCTCCGAGGCTTCCGCTGAGAAAACAAAACAAGAAGTATGAGGTCAACTTTCAACTTGTGCTAGACTTATTCACCCTGTATTCCGTAGGCCTCTATGCGCCGAGCTGTAACATCGTCCCCACTAATGTCAAAGACGCGTTTCACGATGACAGCATTACGGTAGTGAGATTGAAATTTGAAACTGTAGGTATTGAAGGATCTAGCACTGAAAAAAAGCAGGAAAAAACCCAAGAAGGGCTTTAAGTAGAACTCTCTTTCTTCTCAATTGATTTTGAGAGAACGGATTAGAATCGAACGAGAGATTACAAAACGAAGAAGCGCATGGACGAGAAACATAAAAGCTCACCAGAAGGCGTCCGGGACACCTTTGTAAACCAAATCGTTCGTTCCTTTCTTGATGGTTTGAATTCTTGTTTTGACTACTGGAAAATCAAACTTACTGGGAAACGAAGAGACAGAAGAGAATTTCTCTTGAAGGAAGTTTATAGTTCTTCTCGTAGAACGATTTGTAGCGTTACATGGCGGCGACTCGAAAGATTTTGGTGTCTATGGTGCACTATTCATTCACACAAGTCGCTTCATAACCGCGCCGCCCTCAGCTTTGCTGCGCTGCGACGCGGTTTATGACGTAAATTGTTCTCCGATCAATAGTTTCAATGTCAATGTCTTTTCCGTGTGTAGGACTCCATGGGAGAATGTAACAAAAACAAATCTGTAGGTTATACACTTACCATCGAATGGAGTGACTATGAATGCAGAAGCCCCTCCGGCCACCAGCCCACTAAGGAATGACGTCCAAGCGACGGCGTCACCGCTACCGTCCTTCTTCCGTGGTCCCTTGATACAGTACAATTTTTTTCAAAAGAGGTTGCCTAGGATTTCTACACAAACGAAAAGAGCTTTCAAGTATACGTAGTTGATAATGTCGGAATCAGTTGGGGCGGCGTCAGGATGGGCGGCGGGCCCGTCTCCGGCTACCTTGCTCTACCAATAGTGATCCATAGGTGCTGGTTTCAGCGAAAAGAACAACCAGAGGAAGCATGGGCTCATCTAACCATCTTAAAAGTGTCCAGGTTCGACTCTCGATGAATCTTGGCATACTTTGAATTCCTATAGGGTATTGCTTTAGCCGTAACCAAGATGGTATAAAATATTGGCTAACGTTTCGGCGCCTTATCGCCTTCG